ATGCATTTCACTATGCCAAGACCCATGGAAGAGAGAGAGTGTCTGCAATTCACAAAGCCAACATCATGCAAAAGACAGACGGTCTTTTTCTTAAGGTCTATCCTTATGTCTGGCGTCTCAATATAGTTATATGTTTTATTAACCAGCACTATGTTGTTGACTTTCTTTCTTCTTGTCCAGTGTTGCCGAGAGGTCGCGGAAAAGTACCCTGAGATAAAGTATGAGGAAGTTGTCATTGACAATTGCTGTATGATGGTATGATCAAAGACCAATCACTTTATTGCGACTCCAGTACTATACATGTTCATCTTAATGAACAACCTTGAATAAGTTCAATGAAATGTTTAATAGTATTGGACCAAGCCTCATTCTAAAGTTTCATAAATACTATCTAGAAATATGTGGTGAAATAACATACTTCCTTTTCATGTGTACAGCTTGTGAAAAATCCAGCACTTTTTGATGTTCTGGTGATGCCTAACCTTTATGGTGACATAATCAGTGATCTTTGTGCTGGTTTAATTGGTGGCTTGGGCTTAACTCCAAGGTATGCCTTTTTTTTTTTCATTATACGTAACTGATGTCCCATTTGAGTTCATTTTGTCTCATTTTTTTCCTAAAGATGATTTCTCTTACAGTTGCAATATTGGCGAGGGAGGTATAGCCCTTGCTGAGGCTGTGCATGGTTCAGCACCTGATATTGCCGGAAAGGTTTGTATTCAAATAGGATATCATGTCCCATGAGAATATTGCTTTACTCTTAATTCTTATAGCCTGATGCTTCTGTAATCAGTATCAGTATCTCATTTAACCATCAACTATTACTAAGTTCAATCAATTATTGGGTGGGTATCTTCTGACTTCTTGTATCACTCTCCAAATAGAAGTCAAATTTTTGTGTCATTTCGTAACTTTGATGTTAGATAAAAGAGTGATTCAAAGATTTTCAGACAGTTATATTTCACTCCATTCAACTTTTATTTATATTTAACTCCATTCAACCTACACACACTCACATTTATTTATATGTGCATATAAATATATGTATGTATGTATGTGTCTATATATATGTGTGTGTGCATGTGCCCGTATATACACATATGTATGTGACTATGTGTATGTATATGTTTTGTGTTTCTTATCTTTATCTTAAAAACATAACTTTATGTTTCCTCGTTATATTGTTCAAGCTGCAGCTACTATTATTTACTTTTTTGATGTAGTGTTGCACTCACATCGGGTGTGCTAAATCAGTTTGCAGTCTATTAATGTGGGACTATAAGAAGAGTATTTTACCCTTCGGGGTGGCCCAGTGGTTTGGGCTTGAGACTTCCATGTTGGAGGTCTCAAGTTCGAAACCCCTTGTCAGCGAAAGCAAGGGGGTTTGCTTCTGGGTCGAGCTCGTCGCACCGGGCTTGCCTAGTGCGGGTTACCTCTCCTATGTGGTTTGCAAGCTATTGCATAGGAGCAGGGGTTTTTACCCTGTGCGCACCCAAAGGGTAGTGGCTGTGGGTTTCCCTTGTCATAAAAAATAAAAGAAGCGGGTTTCCCTTGTCATAAAAATAAAAATAAAAAATAAAAATAAGAAGAGTATTTTCTTTTTAGTTTGGATGTCCTTCAATCTTATTAGCAATAATTACTGCACAATCAATACATACTGATGCTTAGTCTACTTTGATACTGATGAGGCAAACACACTATAAAATAAGCTGTAGTGCGTCAAAGATGGTATAGAAAAATATTGTCTCCAAGGGATTGGATCAAACAATGTTCAAATAATTCTTTGCTTAATGCTATTTAGGAGGATACATTATTTTAGATTGGGATGGCTTAAGAAGTATTGAGGATAGGTGATTAGATAGGACATAACACATTTGTAGCTTACCGAGGACATAACCCTATAGGAAAATTTAGAGGTCGATGATTAGGATAGAATGTTTGTAGGTAGTCGAGTGGTGTCTAGTTCTTTATCTTTATTATTTTTATTACACTCGTACTATCTTATTCTTCAATTTAGTGGCCTTCCTTAAAGTTATTTTATGATTTGTTGTTGCTACTGTTCTCTTCTCCATTGTTTTCCTTGTGGATTCTTCACTAATCACTACTATATTTGTTTTACCTACTTGATTTTTGTTATGCTTCACTTGAGCCGAGTGTGTATCGAAAACCGCCTCTCTACCTTCTCAGGGTGGGGGTAAGGCTGCGTACACACCACACTCCCCAGGCCTCACTTGTGGGGTTACACTAGGTATGTTGTTGTATAGAGTTGGGATAAAATCTGTCAATAGATGGTGATTTAGTTTGTGGATAAGTTGGAAACTGATGAGGACACCTAATAAACTAACCTATTTTAAGAAAAGACAGCCACTTTCTGTTTACTAGGGATGGCAATGAGGCGGGGCAGGGCAATCCTTGACTCACCTTGCCCTGCCTCATTTAGTCTTTTTTGAACAATTTTTTATTTTTTTGTGATGCACATCTGTATCAGTACTGTTTTGCTAATTTGCATGGTAGCTGAATTGTGAAAAATCTGAACTCTTAGAACATTTTTTTAAAGCAATGTTTTTCCAGAAGCTTTGTAAAAACAATTTATGTTTGTGTATATTTCCTAAAAGGATAGTATAGTCCAGTCCTATTTGAACCCCCCCAAAAATTCCATCCCTACTGTTTACCACTATGTCAAGATGAAGTGAAGTGGGCAGCCATAAAACCTTTTACTAATATCTGTGGTACCTAATTAACACATGTACATCCTTGCATGTGTGCTTCTACTGAAGTAGCAAAGAATATCCGCGACATAGGAAATAAGGTGAGGTGTTACTGTATGATCATGTGCTTTGCTTTCCTTACACACCAAGAATAAGAATACTAATATTTTACAGTTATCCCTTCTCTTGGAACAAAGGGAGTTCTGAGCAATATTAAAGTTGCCTCTGTGTGACCTATAGGTCCATGGAATCAGCCAGTGATGCTTTTGTTGGTGTAGGCTGCCTGCATTACACCCTCTTGGGTGCGACTGTTTGCCAAACCCTGCGTTAACATGGGATGCTTCTTGTACTAAGCTGCCCCTTTTTAAAAAAATTCTTTTTCCTTTTCTGTATCGGTGTATCCTAGGTCCCTGTTTTCCCCCTTTATAAAAACTGAATGTTGATTGAGAAGCAACTGAGAAGTATGTTCTGGTGTTAATTAGAAGATTCTTTATCTGAAATTTTTTGGTGTCTATGATGAAGACCACACTTAATTGGAATATGAAATAAGGATGTAAACAGTGTATGGTTGACACACATCCATTTTTTAAAATATAGTGCACTTTCTTGTTCATCTGCCATTCATTAGGCATGCCCACCCCTGCTTTTTCGTATTTGTTGATCCAAAATTATGTGTGCAGAATTTGGCGAATCCAACTGCTTTGCTTTTGAGTTCTGTGTCTATGCTTCGTCATCTAGAGCTTCATGATAAAGCTGATCGCATCCAAGATGCCATCCTAAAAACAATTGCAGAGGGAAAGTACCGAACAGGCGACCTTGGAGGCACTGCTACAACAACTGAGTTCACAAATGCCATCTGCGATCATCTTTGAACATGTATATATATAGTCATTTTGATGTCAATTTTGATAGTTGGAGGTGACCTTGGAGCCGAGGCGAACCCAGGATTTGAAGACTTGGGGGTGGACCAATAAACATAAAATAAATACAATGAAAATATTGGGCTCTCTAGCTGGATTTGAACCCTGATCTCATGGGTGGTACTTCTAGCTTGTACCAACGGCACAAGAGCACTCCTATATTCCTCACGAGTGCATCGTTAATTATATTCTAGTTTTTGACAGTTTCTCAAAATAGATTTACATATATGCACATGATTTTTTTTTGGAAGTTAACGGGTGCTGCACCCCATATATGACTGTGGGTCCGCCTCTGCCTTGGAGGCATTGCTACAACAAGTGAGATCAAATTTTTATTTTTTATTTTTTACAAAAAAATATTTTAAGAAGTATAAATAATTCTTTTTGTCTTAAATCAACAAGTACAAAATAATCTAGTGACAAAAGTGCATTCTACCACAGTCGAGATGAAATTTTGAATCCTAAAAGATACATTTTTAAAATTATTGTATGATTGAAAAAAATCGATTAGAACTTTACCCAACTTTCGGTTTGAGATTGATTTTTGACATTTTTAGTAGTTCATTGACTGAATAATCTTGATTTTTTACCAGTAAATAAAATGTCTAAATTTATACACAACTTAGTATTTATTTTGAAGTGAAAATGATTTTGTGCACCACCTTCTAATTTTTAGGGGTAGTTTAGTTGTGGCTTGTGGGTGAGATACTAATTCTGAGCTAGGTGCATAATTATTTTATCCTCATTTCATATGAAGAAAAGAATTAACTAATTCTATATAATAAAATATTCTTGCACGTCCCCAGGTAATAACAGTCTAATGCTGTTTGCAAGGGTAATTTTTCAATGACTATATTTGCATAAGTTTTATCAACAAAATCTAAATGATGTCCTAATATTAGGGATACATTTAGTGTTGTGGTTATATATAACATTTCAAATAAAAAAGTATAGTTTTTCATGAGTACTCAATTTGGTTAGTTATATAATTAGTCCAAATCAACTTAACTTTTAATTGGACTAAATTGAGAAGGTCAAAATTATCTAAAAGTCCAATATATAAAAGATCGAGTCATTAATTGATTATATAATTTGTCCAAACTTAAGCAAATTGATTGATTGATTGATTGAATCATATGTGTTCTCGTATATATCGATCGACCTCTTAATATGTGTTCTCGACCAAATAAAGATGCAATTTGTGTTCAAAATGGTTCATAGGAATTCTACGATTCATATGTACGTACCAAAGTATTGCAATTTAATGAAATGTAATGAAGACGAACTACATATATAGCACAATTTCATTAATAGTTTATTTATTTTTGCAGGAATTTAATTTGATCAGCCTTATTAACACACAAACATTTGGTTAGTAAAACCACAATGGCTGCTGATAACCCTAGATAAATTATAAACTTTATTTGACTCCAAACCATAATATATAAATTAACAACTTTATGTCACACATTTGTTTGTATTTGTTCAAGGAATCTGAATATCAGTTTCATAAATAGAGCCAGGTTTCCAATAATCTGGGATCACAGTTTTGTCTGAGTGAATCCATTTGGTCTTTTCACCTTCTTTTATTTGAATCTTTAATTTCAAATCTCCCTTTGGTGGATTTTCCAAATCAAAAACTGCTCCATATGACCTCCTCATTGGTATCCATTTGTAGCTTTTTACCTGTATGTATCAACTTATCAATTACGTGTTTGGATAAAAGTGTTGAAAATAATTTTAAAAAATAAGAGGATATGTATACATACATCGTAGATTTCAATTGCTATGATATCAGCATAGCCACCATTGTTAAATAGAAATATTGCAAGGTAGCCATGATAGTTGCTATGTTCATTAATTTTGATTTTGAGATTGCCATATTTGCAAGAAACTCTTTTGTAGTCAACATCAACCACTCCCTTTGGGAACAACATGTGAGCTAGCTTTGGATGCTTCGCCATTTTGGCAAACGCGTCTGAGCTAAGAATAAAGTCAGTTCCGGGCCCCTCACCACTATCAGTCACCACCACTTTAACTCCCTCGTTGCTACATAGTGCCTCGTCCTTGCACCTCACCTATAATATATCGTTGATAATTAGTAGTCATATACATGTTTATTATAAGGTAATTACAAGTAAATCGTAATGACAAATATTAGAAATTTACATGATAAAATTGGTAATTTCCCACTATCTATGTTAGTTTTGCAAATTTTTTTTGGTAAAAATGACAAATATACCTCCGAACTATCATAAATGGTATGTAGATACCCTCCGTCATACTTTTGGGACATTGGTGCCCCTGCCGTCCAAAAACTAGAGCATACATACCCTTTATACTAACGGACATAAACGTGTCATAATCTTATCTACCGACTCAACATTTATTAAATATTGGATCGACGGATAAGATTGCGCCACGTGTCCCTATTTAGTCTTCCGTTATAGTGAAGGGCATATATGCTCTAGTTTTTGGACAGCAGGCTAGATACCATTTATGATAGTTCGGGATATGTTTGTCCGTTTTCCCAAAAAAATTTACACTAATATATGTATATATAACTTGAATATTCGATTCGAAATTAATTGGAGTTGGTGTAGACAATTCAAGGGTTTACTAAACTAGCCATATGTGTATATGTTATACATTCATTTATTATATGTATAAGCATTTTGTTTTTAAAAATACAAAATAATATATATTTCGATAGATCAAATGGAGTACTACTATTATAACATCGATCTTCAACTCAAATCTATAAAGTTCAAATTCTGAATCCGTTTCTGCATACCTGATAACATGCACCACATCCAACTCCATTCTTGTAGAGCTTCCATGACGCGGCGGTAACGAGTCCATCATTGACATATCTTCCATGCTCTCCATAACCACAAGCTCCAGCTGATCAAATATATGTTGCAAATTAATAAAATGTTGAATCAATCAATCTATCTTAAAAGGAAAAAAATTAAAAATCAAATGTGACTTACTAGGTGTTCCTTTGCCATCAGAGGTCTTATAAAATGTAGCTTTAGAATAATAATTTTCAGTACCAAAGGAAAATGCAGGCAAAAGTAAAATTATACATATCATAAAAGTGGAACAATTGTTGAAAGAGATAGCCATTTTTTAAAGCTAAAAATGTAAAGAAGTGTTAATTTGGATTATGAGAAATGTAGAGATAAAGTTCTTTATTTATAGTTGTGTGTTACAAGGGGCAGGTATTGACTATATGGCCAACTTTGTATTAGTCTTGATTTAGTTTTAATTATTTTATTTGGAAAAAGAAATATTCAAAGTTTTTGACCCTAATTGTATAAAATATGGATCACATCATGAAAAAGAATAAAGAAAAACTTTTTTTTCTTTTGATTTTAAGATAAGTTTAGAATTTGATAAGCATCTTCTTTGAAGCAACAAATAGCTAATTAATGATGATTATTTAAATCCCATAGATCTTAATTAACAATACTTGGTGCTAGAAATTGTCATTGTTTCAAAATCAATGGATGTTAGTACCTTCTTTTGCCGCGTCCGTACCATTTAATGTAATACTCATTTCGTTTTATATTAGTTGTCAATTTTTCTTTCTACGCATCTTAAAAAAATATCACAAATAAGAAGTGTCGTTTTTAATTTACATATTAAGAAATTTGTTAATAAGGTGAACAACAAATTATATAGGATGATCAAAAGAGTAGCGTTCAAAAAATAATGAAGATTTTTGACATTTAAGAGTGTCAAAGTTATCCTTTTAAATGAGTAGTGGCGAGAGTTTCACACGCCTTTTGATTTAAATGAATGGCGATGAGCGTTCGACAAGTTATGTTTTCATGGATTCAACAAATTAAATAGAAAATATACACTACAACAGAAATAACTTTTAGCAGCAATAATAAATATACATATTAATAAAGAGTGCTAAAGTTTTTACCAGCATTACTTAATTGTCATTGAATCCAATGTCGCTAAAGACTTCAAGGACATATACAAAGAATACTAATTGTCGCTAAAAATACATATTTAGCGAAAATAAATAAGATATTACCGTTAATTAATTGTCCCTACGATCATTTTTGATATAGTGATATCGATCACATCAATTAAGACAAGAGAAAATAATACTAAATATTATCTTAAAATCTGGGCAACAGCTCATTGTTTGGGAATTTAAATTATGTCACACGGGAATGTTATTAATTTATTGTTTGATCGTTAGACTTTTAATTTATTTTCTCTTATAATTCCTTGGAATATGTTTTCTATTTACCAATTGAATACTAGAAATATTTTTTTAAAAATATTTTCCACTTATTAAGCCAACAGAAAAATAATAAATAAAAAATTCACTTATTTTTCAAAAATATTATCCATTCCATCGAACACAACACAGCCTAAATGAGATAATTAAGAACAAATAAATATTCATAGATAAATACTCTTATGATTAAAATATTATGGGTTGAAAATAAATGTTCAATTAGACGGGTAAGTTTAGACCAATTCAACTAGAAAAAATTGGAACACGTCTCTGTACAATAAGAAAAAAAAGGTTACTACACTATAAAAGTAAAAGACGTAGTATATAGTCTAATAGCTATTAGAACTCTTCAACTTAATTTTTTTTTTTCCATGTCACGTGAACGTGAACTCGAAGCAAAGAATAATCAAAGTTAGCCTCCAAGTATATAAATTTAAATTAGTCGGACATCTCGATAGCAACATTTTTATATAATAATACTTCATTGTAATAATGGCTTTTTTGAAATTAGTTTTTTATGTTATATTTTATCTCTCTATAACATTTTCTTTCACATATAACAACAATAACGATCTTGTATAATAGTACACTCTTTATAAAAGTATCTTATTATAATAACAATGTTCTAATTGGTAGTATAATAATTAGCCATTTTCTTTTATCGAAATAGAATTTCTAAAATATTTTGATACTTTAATATACTATATGAGAAAACAAGAAATATACATATGATAAAGTTTATTTATGTGGTTATATATATATATATATATATATATATCCGCTACTGATATATAAGAGGGAATAAGTGCACACGTCTCGGTCGACGTGTGTGCTTCCCGAAAATATCCTAAATTTGAGAATAATTTTGTCAATTTAGTTTTATTGTAGCTGCTTGTAAATTAGGACTCTCAAAATATCAAGTGCCACATATATTATTTATTAAAAAATATGTTTAAAATATTATAAAATAATTGACGATAAAATTATAAAATCAAAACAAACAAAATAATATATATTGGACTCGGACTTGTCCGAACTTTTGTATCTAGTATATATATAAAGCTTCTAATTAAGGATAAAATAAGAAATAAATATAAAATTATTTCTAAAGTGTAAAAGCTTGTCATTCTTTTGGTAATTCACATAAATTAAAATAGAACGACGAATAGTAATAAATCTAAAATGGTTACTAAAATGTAAATGGCGACTTTTTATTCATAGTTCTCACGACAACAGAAATACAAAACATACATATAACACTTAGCAAGTTACCACTATTAATGCCAAAAGTACAACACAGAAATACATTTTTAATTTTTTTCAAATTAGCTAGATAATTAAACAAGAAATCACCCAAATTAACTAGTATTAAGTACATATATTAATTAATTAAGTAAGCTGAATGTCAGTTTCAATTGTAAGTCCAACTTTCCATTGAGCAGGAATAACAGCTTTGTCTGATTGTACCCATTTGCTTTCAACACTTGTACTTGTTAGAAACCTTACTTTAAGGTCTCCACATGGTGGATTTGACAAGTCCCACACTGCCCCATATGCCTTTCTCATTGATATCCATTGTTGACTCTCTTCCTACGTACATACAAACAATCAAATATTATTAAACGCGAGATCATTCTATGAGTTCAATCAAATATATCTATTACCTTAGGTGAAATAAGTAAACATGTGATCCTGACTTGATCCGTTGAGAATGGGTGGATCAAGATTAGATATGATCCAACTTATCGTTCCCTAAAAACTAAAAGAGGGGGTGAGCTGGTAGACAATAGACTGTCTACGGATCGATAAGTTAACTCCAAAGTTGAACCATCTCACTTTCATACAATTTACAATTTTGTATTTTTGAATTTAAAATTAATGCATTTCTAATTCATTAGGTTATATACACTCTATTTTGATCACTCGATTTAATAAATTCAATAATTTGATGAGTCGTTTCGAGTTTGATGTTGAGGTCAATTAGTCAATAGACATGTCATAATCTCAAATTGGATTTGCCACCTCTAACACTCATTCTAAACCTAGCTACTAACACCAAATCCTACAACAACAAATTCAGTGAAATTTACAGGTAAAGTCTGAAAAAGTAGAGCATACGTAGATCTTATACCTCATAGATTTCTACAGCATGGATGTCGGTGGCACCACCTTGGTTCAATACAACAATAGCAAGATAATCAGCATACTTGCTATGTTCATGAATTTTAACCATAAGATTTCCACCATAACCACAAGAAACTCTTCTATATTCTATGTCAACAACCCCTTTTCCACATAAATGAGCTGCCAAACTTGGAGTTTTAGCTAATTTTGCATAGGCTTTAAAGCTAAGAATTAAATCTGTTTCTTGTCCATCTGCACTGTCTGTCACCACAACTTTTGTACCCTCTTCACTACACAATGCATTGTTCTTGCACCTAACCTGTAATTACATTAATTAATTAATTAATTTATTGACCTCCATATAAATTGAACAAAATACACTTGTAACATATTAATATTACTCCTAATTTGTTACACTTGAAACATGTTTAGAAATTGGTCAAACACTAGTTGTATGTTGTTCAAAAGTATTTTTGAATTTAGTTAGTCAAACATAAACTATGTTTCACGATTTCTTTTTTCAAACTAAGCTGATTTTAGAAACTTGACCAAACAGACTATTATAATTTGCGCTTATATATACCAGGTAACTTATTACTATCAATTATTCTTGGTTCCCAATTAAGTAGAATTATGATTACACCTGATTGTATTTCATATCGTTAGTGAAATAAAACTTAAAAAACTTTGATTGTAATATTAAAGGGGTCCAATTTCGAAGACACCACGACAATGTAATATATCATGTCACCTAAAAAATAACCGCTACTAATATAATTATATTATCGATAAAAATGAAATAAGTAGGTACGTACCTGGTAACATGCACCACAACCAACTCCATTTCTGTAGAGACGCCTAGAGGCTGTGCACACTTCACCATTGTTCACATCTTTACCATAGTCTCCATAACCACATGCTCCAGCTAATCATATATACACATACATCAAAATTAATGTTAAAACAATTATAGTAATAATCGATTAAAATTTCGTGTTTAATTAATATATGATGTTCACATGTTCTTTTTTAATTGGGTAAAAAAAAAAAAAACAGAAAAAGGGCCAAAAATGCTCCTGAACTATAGCATAATGTGATATTCAAGTGTTCAACATTAGTCAAACAGATGAGTATTTTTAACAAAATAGGTGGATGAAGGGGATATTTAGATCTTTTACGATAGTTCAGAGACATTTTTGACCTTTTTCCGAAAAAAATAACAGAAGTAGTTAATTAGCTAGGTATCATACATGGTGTTCCCATGCCATCAGAAGTACTATAAAATGATGCCTTGGAAACTAAGGTTTGGCTGTAGGAAAATGCTGGCATAAGCATAATATTCATGCACATAAAAATGCAAGAATATTTAAGTGAACGATCCATTTTTTTTGTTCACAAAATAATTAGCAAGTGAGAAACTAATTAAAGACTTTAATTTGTATGATGAAAATTAAGTGAAGAAAAGTTCCACATTTATAGTGAAGTTTGTAAGGAGTTGAGATTCATATTAGGAGCCACGTTTCTTGTCCACTATGGACAGTGGAAACCAAATGTAAATAAATGAATAGCCCCTATAAAATCATTGATGTTACAACACATTATTATTAATTTCATTTTGTTCATTTCAATTATTCAAACTATATAAAGGACTATGAAAATGACATATATGCTTAATTTATGCATTTCTATTTTTGTTTAAGCTTGTTGGTGCTTGAATATATCTACTTGTTGGGTGAAAATGTTATGTGGTGTTGGTGTGTTTCCTGTTGAAGTTCATAAGCAA